CACCTCCTGCCCAGACCCCTCCCCAGAACAATGCACCTCCTGCCCAGACCCCTCCCCAGAACAATGCACCTCCTGCCCAGACCCCTCCCCAGAACAATGCACTTCCTGCCCAGACCCCTCCCCAGAACAAAACACCTCCTGCCCAGACCCCTCCCCAGAACAATGCACCTCCTGCCCAGACCCCTCCCCAGAACAACACACCTCCTGACCAGACCCCTCCCCAGAACAAAACACCTCCTGCCCAGACCCCTCCCCAGAACAAAACACCTCCTGCCCAGACCCCTCCCCAGAACAATGCACCTCCTGCCCAGACCCCTCCCCAGAACAAAGCACCTCCTGCCCAGACCCCTCCCCAGAACAATGCACTTCCTGCCCAGACCCCTTCCCAGAACAATACACCACCTGCCCAGATCCACTTTCTAAAACAGTGTCAGATAGTCCACATACCTTTCTCCATGAGATGGCGGGGAAGGGGTCTCCAGCAGCAGCACAAGGAATCAGCAGCTCCCTCCCAGCCTCTTGTCTATACTCCCAGCCGGGCAGCACCGTGAAATAGGGCGGGTCCTAAGGGGATGGAAAATGGCGTGAAAAGAATATGAGACGATCCGTCAGGAGTTTATTTAAGGAAAGCGGATCGGAAAATACAACCGCGGCCATGAAGCTTCAACAGGCCGAGGAGTTCATCAGACGAGTTCATTTCTAAGTGGAGATTTGTAGGTAAGAGGGACGAAGGGAGCGGGCACGGCCGCCGGAAAGTACTCATACATAATTGATGTCAGATCCATATAACGGTGCGGAGACTCGGATGTTGCACATTGCTGCTCCACATTAAAGGCGGCAGACATTTGCCGCTTCTCTACACACCAGTTCCAGGAACCTCATCCCTCTAATGGAAAACAATCTGCTGCCTTTCACCTCACAAGAATCACAAAGCTTTCATGACATTTCCTGCCCGCCCCCAACTCAGAAATACAATCTGCAATTAAGTGTCCTAATAAACTCTCTATGGGGCCCTCTATCTATGTATAGGGGCCCCAGATTAAAGTGACATCAAACCCTCAGATTTTTTGACATAAAACAATACTGTAGTGTGTGACTTACTGTAATCCATGGTAGTTTCCCTTCTCTTTGCTGCTCTTCCTTTTAAATCTGTATCTGTTCTCATGCTGGGGGAGAACTTCTGTTTGGCAGCAGACTGCCTTGTCTCTGGAATGGATACATGGTGTCTGTGTATAGATTTGTATAGGCTTGTAACCTGAGCCAGCACTACAGGAAGAGCCCCTGAGCCAGCACTACAGGAAGAGGCCCTGAGCTGAAAAGGGAAGTTCTCCCCCAGC